GTGATAACTGTGCCATCTTTTCCTTCTTGTAACATTTCTGGTGGGAAAGTGTAAAGAGGAATCAACAGCCAAGTTGGAAATAGGGGGCAGGAACTGACTCAAGGATCACAGACTCTTCTAAGTACAATATGAATTGTTGCCTTCAGAGCAGTTATTTCATTTTATTCACACTCAATCTGGAACTTTTATTTTTCTCAATTCAAAATTGAAATAATAATCCAAAAGAAAGCTGGATTGAAGTTTTTAACAGATTAATAACAGTGCCCTAAATGCTCTTTATCTCATTTAATCCTCACAACCTCATATACAAGGGATTATTAGAAAAAATGAAGGGACTTCTCACAGGGAATAGGGCTATGCAAACTTTTAGTTTTTGCTTGATACATTCCTAAGCCACGTAATTTTTTTTTTCATTAATCATGTCATTTAGAATGAAAAGTTTCGGGGCTGGGTATTTAGCTCAGTGGCACTGCACCTGCCTCACAAGCACAAAGTCCTGAGTTTGATTCCTGGTACTGAAAAAAAAAAAAAAAAAGAATGAAAAATTCCATTTCCTAATTTAAGTGCAAAATTGGTCTCAGCAAAATGGTTGTGAGATTCCTTTTTCAATTTTCATATACAACTTTTCTGTGTGTATTGTTATACTCTTTGTAAACTATCCCACTCTGTTAATAAACTTAACTGATAACACATGTCTAGGGTGTTCTCCAATATCACAGGGTCGACACTTCTGTTCTTTCCCTCACTGAAGTTGTGTTCTTAGCAAGGGTATCAGTTGTGTTTGTTCACAGAACAATTTATGCCAGTTGTTGTTGTAAATATATAATTTAACTTAGAACTATGTAAAGCAGTGAAGTATAAATGGGAAAAATGATAGCAGCAACTAACACTAATTGAGTACTTACTACCTGGCAGACATTGTTCTTGGTGCTTTATGTGAATTAACTCACAGATTTCACAAGAACCCTGGGAAGTGATACTATCATTATGCTTGTTTTACAGAGGGAGAAACTGAGCAACTTGCCCAAGGCCAACACAATAAGTAGCAAAGCAATTTAACTCCGGAGCTTAAGAATGTAACTACTATTCTACAGTAGCCTGCATGTAGTTTTTTTTTTTTAATGAAAATCAAGTTGAGTGCTTTGGAAAGATTAGATAAAGATGAATCACACAGACACATACAAGCTGCTGTTAGGTGTGGGACTCAAGACTGGGAGGACATTTTATAAACACTTGGAAAGATTCTGTACTCAGCTTTGCAATTGAATTCAGTTGTTGCATGTTAAAGAACCATAAATAATATATGTTGGGGATTGGTAAACTCTTTCTATAAAAGGCCAGTTAGCAAACATTTTAGGTGTTGTGGGCCACATGGTTTCTGCTGTAACTGCTCAGTTCTGCTGTACAGGATGTAGGCACAGACAATGTGTAAATAAATGAACATGACCGTTTCAATACAACTTCAAAACAGGTAGAAGGCTGAGATAAAATCTGTCTGACAACCCCTGAGACCCACACTCCAAGAAAAGGCTAAGGGCTGAGGTTGAAAGAATGACAAAGAATATTTGTATTTTAAGCTAGAAGTATAAAATATGTGAGTAACTAATACCTATATGATTCCCTGCTTTAAGTTTTTTGTGGGGGAGGGTTAACTAATTAATGGTCCTAACTTTGTAATATGAGGGCAGCTCCCATCTTGTAAGGAATTTGTGCTTTTTTTTCCTGCCTGTATTTGCCAAAGGTACCACCTCAACCTGGAAAACCTTACTTCCTCACATCTATTTGAAATCCTACTGATCTTCAAGGCCCATTATCTAACCCTACCATCTACTTCAGAATAGATATGATCTCTTTCACCTTTGAAATCCTAAAATTAATTTCTTCTTCTTACACTACTTACTTTGCCATGTCTTCTTTTTTTTTTGGTACCGGAGATCAAACTTAGGCCCTTACGCTTGCGAGGCAGGTGGCAGAACCACTGAGTCCAATCCCCAGCCTGCTACGTCTTCTTTATGGTTGTATTCTAATTTACCCCCTATTTGACTATAACCTGGTCGAGGACATTTTCTTATCCTACATAACACTCAGCACTGTACTTTACATATAGTTGGCATTCAGTTCATAGTTCTTGAATTGTACTCTGGCTTTTTGTTGTTATTTTGTTTTTTGAGATGGGGTGCTGCTATGTAATTCAGACTGACTTATTCTTGCTATGTAGCCCAGGCTGGCCTTGAACTCCAAACTATTCTCCAGTTTTAGCCCATTAGGATTATAGGTGTGCACCACCATATTCTGTTTTTTTGTTTTTTTGTTTGTTTGTTTTTTGAGACAGAGTCTCACTATGTAGGTGAGACTGACCTGGAACTCACTATGTAGCCCAGGCTGGTCTCGAACTCAAAGTGATAATCCTGCCTCAGCCTCCTGAGGTTTTTTGTTTGTTTTTTGAGACAGGGTCTTGCTGTGTAGTTTAGGCTGGCCTTGAACTATGTAGCGTAGGCCTCTTAACTCATGGAGATCCTCCTGTCTCAGCCTCCCTAGTGCTGAGATTACAAACGTGCACCAGCATGCCCAGCCCATGCCTGGTTTTGAATATTAGCATTCTTTTGTTCTTAGTGTATGAGTGAACAAAACACTATACTAACCCTCCTAACCTATTCAATTCATAACTCTATACCACACTTATGATATAACTTGATTATTTTAAGACACATTCAGCAGTAGAGGTCAGTATGGTGTACTTGTGTTTAAAACTGTCAAACTGAGCTGGGTATGGTGGCGCATGCCTGTAATCCCAGTACCCAGGAGGGTGAGGCAGGAGAATCACCACAAATTCAAGGCCAGCCTGGGCTACATAGTGAATTCAAGGCCAGACTCTATCTCAAAAACAAAAATTAAAACAAAACAATCCCCCCAAACAGACAACCTTCCTTGTCATTCCTGATACAAAATTACCAATCATTTGAAAGGAATTATTAAAATTGCTGCTTTCCAGTCAATCTTCAGGAGATCAGTACGTTTTATGAATATATACATGTAAATGCTGCATTCTTAAGTAAAACAAGTAAGTAAAAAATACTTCATTCAAATCTGAGGGGTCAGGGATTTGGCTCAGAGGTTCCACCAACTGCCTCGCAAGCACAAGGGCCGGAGTTCAATCCCTGGTACCAAAAACAAAAACAAAAAACCAAATCTGAGATGAAGGCTATACCCTACTTACCTTTGTATCCCTAGCAATACTCAGATGTTTCTAGTTCTAATCCACTTCTACTGAGTGTTTAGGGAGCATAATAACCTAAACTCAGAGTGAATTAGAAGGGCTGGAAGAGGAATTTAGGTTTCCTAGTTCCTAGTCCAGTATTACCAGACTGGAAATATCTTTTTAAAAAAATAAATTTTATTTTATGTTATCCCATTCCCTCCTCAAGCCCTCTCTCCCCCCATATACAAAAGCTGTGTGTCCATTTTTTCCTTTTATTTTCACTTACTCTTGTCCCTTCCTTCCTTTCTCCCTCCCTCCTTCCTTGCTCTTCTTTGCATTTCTCAGCATCTATTATACATTTCAGTCTGGAAATACTCTAATTCAGGAAGGCAGTGGCTTTTCAAGTGCACCCAAATCTGCAGTTCTAACCCTGAAAGACCAAGAAAGACTCCCCATCTTTTTCTTCTTGGTACTGTCAATGAGAATCAGCAGCTGTGTTCACACAACAGCTGGATATCCATGTCTGAGGTTTCAACACCAAAATGGCCAATTTTAGGAATTCTGAATATGTAAAATGTGCTACTTAAACACCACAGAGAAAAAAATATCTCCACCCAAGAATGCAAGATAAGAGCTCAAATGTGTCCTTGGCAGTTTTTAAAAGAACCATAAAAATGTTTCTGTGCTGGAGTGACACATACTGGAAAGAAGGGCTAGAAAGGCTATGTATCCAGCTAATTTTTCCACACAGAGAGGTGGTGGAGTTCACATTCTAACAGAGCTACAGCAACAGGTTCCAGTCTAGTGCATTATTGTTTCAACACTGTCAGCTATTACTGCTTTAACCATTTTAATCTGTAAAATAAACAAGAAGCAGTCCAACAGGACCATCCTCAGTTAAAAAAAAATTTTTACTTACAAAAACTATAGTTCCCCTTCTTCCTCCCCTACAATTTTAGAAAATAGTACAATCACCTTCAGTTAACAAAAGATACTATGCTACCCAGATAGTTCACAGCCAATACAGTATTTTTATCTTTCTGGAAGCTATAAAAGACAAGAGCCATTGTGGGGCTCTCTAGGTCACACAGGGGAAAAAAAATCTAGGAGAGTTATTAAGGAATAAGGGAACAAGAATAAATTCCACTATTTAATTTAATAAAGAATTTATGAGAATCCATTATGGGTTAAAAAGGCTTACAATTTAGTAGTATACAAACTATAATAAAAACCTCAACAGGGAAAGTACCAAGAGGTACGAGTCCCCTTGGAGGAAGCTACCGGTCATTTCAGTATCGGGCTGATGGATTAAAACAATCAGGTAAGAGACACCTGTAGTCTCAATCTGACTGAGAGGAGGGAGGACCTTTGGGTGAAAGTTCTCCAGTGACATCTGTGGAAATGGACGCTACACTAGGGCACTATCTGCTCATCTACAGCTTGGCTAAGCTAGACTTCATACAAGATTATTCCAAGAATGACAGCAGGTTAACTAAAGAGAAGTTTATGCAAAATATAAAGACGGTGGAAACTGAGGCAAAAAAGTCAAACACAATTGATGCTGGCTTAGGACCGGTGCAGAAAAACTCTGCAAAACCCAAGCCCAAACTATAGTGGAGATTTTCTACCTTCAAAACTTCCTCTTTTCTATCGTCCACCTCCAGAATACCCAGCTCTTCTGCACTTTTCCTGCGTGGACTCTAGAAAGGGGTCTTGCCTCAAACCATTCGTCACAGTCTAGCAATAATCACTCTATAAGTACACACGGTGCTTAGCACCAGTAAGGTTTTCATTCACTCACCAGTTAGCTAAATCCTGAATCAGCGGACCACGAACCTACCCGCAGTCTGCCCTTTATTCTGTCGCCTCAGTGGTTAGTTCCTTCGATTCTTGGTCTGCAGATTTTGGGATTATGAGGAGACTGAGATTGGATTCAACGATCTCTCAGGTTTAAAAGCTTCTCGACAAAGCCGGCACCTGGAGGCACCGGACACATGGGCCATTGCATAGAAGGGGAAGCTGCGGTGTCCATCAACCTGCCTAAGGTCACTCCGGCTGTGTCGCCGTAGGGGCCAGGCCAAGGCTCAGGTCTCCAGACGTCTAGTCCTGGGCTCTTTCTCCTTCCGCCCAGCAGAGAAGGGCGGCGGAGGGTCCTTGACCCGGAGGGGAAAGGTCCGTCCTATTCCTATGTTATGAAATAGGGCGGGAGGCCTTACCTTCCCAGGTCGAATTCAGCCAGAGACTCCTCCCTCTGAGAACTGGAATCAGTCAACCCCTCAGGACTTCTCAGAAGCCCCCGTCACTTCTGTCCGGCTCGACGTGTCCACCACTGCCACAGAGGCCGCACTTTCCCGCCCCTGCCCCGCCCCCTAAGCTCGCCGCCCAATCCACGCACAGATCCTCGGAACTCCGCCTCTTCTTCGGGCTGGAGAGGCTTTACGCCACGAGACACTCGACTTCGTATTTGCCTTTGCTCCACCTTTTCCAGAGTCCAGTCTCCTTTCGGCTGAGCTAGAGTACAGGAATTTGGCCTGCCGGAAAGCAGCACGCCGCCGCGGCGTTTTACGACGTCCGCGGTGACAGGCCCCGGGAACATCCGGCCTCCTCCGCCTCAGGGGCAAAAGCCAACGCTATGTTCGGTGCCGGGGACGAGGACGACACTGACTTCCTCTCGCCGAGCGGCGGGTGAGTGACCGAGAAGCATAGGCCAGAGAGCATGGCTGAGACCGGAGGATGGTTGTAAGGGGTGGATCTCTTCCCTGGCCTCACCTCAACTTCCGGGTACAGACCCTTGCCAACACCCGGTGCTTAGACTTCCCCAGTCTGAGTAGAGCTCGTAACTGTGCTGTCTGTGAATCTGAGACCTGGGCCCAGCATCTCCCGTGACACTCGGTGTGACCTAGTGTTTCGCTCTTTGCTTTCTGAGTCAGTTTCTCCAGTAAACGGGGATGACTGCGAAGAGACTGCCTGCTTCAGTATTTTTGGGAGTCATCTGGGGCCAGTATGAGACTTTCTCTTCTCTGGTGACATTTTAAAAGCAGTACCTGGAGATTCAGTTCCAGCATCATTCAAAACCTAGCTCGGATGTCATCTTTTATGATGCTTTCCCTTTTCCCACAGCCCCGGGCGGAATAAATTGCTCTATCTTCCTTATTCCCACGACTACCTTTGCACACTGAACCTACTAGATTATAAGCCCGAACAGGAGGGAACTGCTTATGTTGTTCATTTTTATTTAGCACTCAGCATGGTACCTGGCACATGTTGAGTGCTCAGAAAGTGTCTGTTGAATAAATAATAGCGGTGTAATTGCACTTTGTAAGTTTTAAAGCTTAAGATCAATGTGAAAGGATGCAGTCATTATCCCCTAGCCTTATACATTGTGTATATCGCCTGAGATAAAAGTCTTCAAAGACAAACAAGGCTTTATCTCTTTTAGTAAATTTCCATTTTCTCTTAGGCCGCGTCTGGAAACCTTGGCTTCAAACTTCTTAGCTGCCAAATTCTGGTCTTTGGAGGTCTGAGCTTTACAGATTTTGTGCATACTGAAGATTGCACTGAAAAAATGGTGAATACATCATCATATTGCTTCCCGTTGTACATGTCAAGAGTTTACAAAAGTGATTAGGTTCTAGTGCCTGCCCTCAGCTTGATTCCTTGACCTATTGGGGAGTTCAACACAAGAATGCCTATAAAATGATTCATTCATTCACTCATTCATTCTCCCGCTCTCTTTCCCTCCCTCCCCTGCTTCCCCTGTCTCATTCCTTTTCTTTTCCCTCTCCATATCTCTGGACAGGATCTCACTATGTAACCAAGGGTAGCTGCAACCTCTGATCTTCCTGCCTCAGCCTTTTAAGTGCTGGGATTGTAGGCACGCACTTTTATGCCTGGCTGTCTTTTGGTCATTAGCAGGATCTTTTGACACTCACTGATTAGCTCTGTATTACCCACTTTATATCTTCTTTTCACTTTTGAAACTTTGTTCCACCTTTGCTCCCACATTAGATGGCCTGCTATTTAGTTCCACTTTGAATCCTTCCAGTTGCTCATTTACTTAGAGTTCAGCTGTGCTTTGGTTCCTTTCTTCTCTGTTTCACTCAAAACAGTCACTAAAATTTCTATACAGTCTAGCCTCCCTGCTGCTATTGTCTATGTAGTCAGCCTTTTGAATTAGTATTTTTTCATACAAAGCTGTTTTGTGTGTAGCTGTATATTAGGCCTTTGGAAATTTTCCAAGGTGGACTTTAAATTCATGTTCTTCACTGTTTGAAAGTATTTGAGAAAAATCTGTAAAGGAATGTTAAGCTCATGCATAAAGCAATCCACTGCTGACTGAAACTGTAGCGTAGACAATAAAGAGTCATGAACCCTTTTTCAGATTCCAGATCCAGGATGACTTCTTGGTGAGTCAACTATTCTGTTTCCCTGAGCAGGCTTATCAATATCCTGAGACGCTTTAAGTCTAGTCACGTGACTGTGCCCCTAGATGTAGACAATAGCAAATTTAATGACAAAAGACTTAGCAAAGAAGGTTATACGGATGATTTATGTTTGTTCTAGGAAAATGGAATGAAATTTAATATTGAGAATAAGGCAAGTTTCATCAGCATTCTCTGATTTTGCTGTTTCTCCAGGGAGGTAGAACACATGACAGTGGACATTGCAACTGCTTTTCAGTTCCTCATTTTTTTTTTCAGTACCAGGGATTGAACTCAGAACCTTGCACTTGTAAGGCAAGGGGGGTGCCACTAAGCTAAATCCCTGGCCCCTATCAGTTCCTCTTTTATAACTTTAATTACTGTAAATATACTTGCTTATATTTTGCATCTCCTAACTATAGAACTTACTTGATCCTATTTAGGGTAGTTGAACCTAATAAAAGTGAAATATTAGTGCCTGGGATGGTAGTCTATTGATTGAAAGCTGCTTTTCCAGTTTCTGGGTCTCTATCTATCTATCTATTTATTTCAGTACTGAAGATCAAACTTAGGGCCTTGTGCTTGTCAGGCAAGCGCAGCACCACTGAGCTACATCCAGCCTTTCTGGATCTCTTAAAGTCTATAGTTAGCTTAGAAATAGTAATCAGAAGGGCCTGGGGATTTAGCTCAGTGGTTCTGCCACCTGCCTCACAAGCACAATGACCCAAGTTCAATCCCTGGTACCCCCCAAAAAAGAAAGAAATAGTAATCAGAAGATACACTTTTTGTTTTGTCTCAGCCCTTTCCCTGCCTTTGTGACTTTGATATAAAGAAATATATGAATGCTACTTAGTGCATGGTATCTGACTTCAGCTAATAATCAGGTTCTTTTCTTTTTTTAGGCAAGAACTTGCTGTGTTACCCTAATCCTTGGGTTCCTCCAGCCTCAGTCTCCTAAGTAGTTAGGACTACCAATGTATACCACAACTACTAGTGTATTAGGCCTTTTGAAAATGTCCTAGAATGTCACTATGCCCAGCATTTTACAAAACATTTTGAATGGGCCATTTATGTATATATTTGTTTTAGATTTTTATGAGGTATGTATAGGGAAATCTGACTAACATAGTAATGATAAAGTAGAAAGGTGGATAAAAGATAACCTCAGAGCCATCATCAAAAGGTGTTGTATATTCTATAAAAGATACAGAAAAGCCTAAATTCTTCTGTTGATTCTTTCCCCAGTTAGGAGTATGACTTTGGACAAGTCACTTCCCATTCTTATTCCTCCATAGACTCATTTTTTGAATAATGAGATTTGCTTTTGGTGATCTTTCCTTGTTCGATAGTTTTGTATTTATGCTAATATCAGTTTGTAATTTCAGGTCACCCTGTGCATTGATCAAGCATTCTCTCTCCCTTATAGGAGTATCTGAATTGAGTAGGCATTTTGAATAATAGAATGTGTTTACAAAGTGTATAAAATAGTGTATATTTATTAACAGACACTGTACTGAGGAATTAATGAATATATATGATCATATTTACTCCTTACTTCTGTATCAAGTAGTAGTTTTCATTTTTGTTTTGTTTTTTGTTTTTTGTTTTTGAGATAGGGTCTCACTATGTAGTTGAGACTGACCTGGAACACACTGTGTAGCCCAGGCTGCAATCCTCCTGCTTTAGCCTCACAAGTGCTAGGATTACAGGCATGTGCCACCACGCCTGGCTTCATTATTATACCCATTTTACAAATGGGACAGCTCAGAGAGGTAAGTTGCTCAAGGTTGCACAGCTAGAAACTAACCGAGAGAGCCTGGAGTCAAAGTTAGGCGAGTAGATTCCAACAGATCTGTCCATTTGTCATTATCATCATTATGATAAGTAGATGTGGATGTCATGGTTAATAAAAGAAGTTTTTTTACCAACAGAAAGATCCCATTATTAAAATATATCAATACAGGATTAATGCATGTTTTTGTTTTTGATGAGAAAAGAAATATGAAAGTGAGGTAAGGAAAGGATCTTGGCAGCTAAATATATTAGCTAACATTTATTTTAAAAATATAACTAATGCCATAATGATTTTTCTCATGAATTATTAACATAGATGTTGAAGTCTAGAGTTAACAAGCCCATTCTTGCTAACATAGGAAGATTATGTGCATTTGAGAACACTTTAAAAGTAGAAAAACGTAGTAATGCACAAAAAATTTATACTACTAAGAGTGTATAGCATTCATTCTTAAGTCTTAATAGGAAATGGAATTAATATGAAACATAATTGGATTGGCCTGGCTTTTGGATTGATTTTCCCATCATCAGTCAACTGGCTTTTAGGATATCAGTAGAAAGTTTGCCAGTGACACTTTTGACTTTACTTTGAAAAAGGAACATTCTTGCACCATTAAAATACCCATAGTTTACTGAACATTTTTATATCAATTATTTGCACATAAGCAGTTATATATTTTTTCAATTTTTATTTTTATTAGTACCTATTTGTAGTTCATAATGATCACATTCTTCTTGGTGACTTGTACATGTACATAACATATCTTAATTCTTTTTTTCATCCCCTTTCTCTCCCCTCCTTTTCTCCTTCCTACATATTTGATCACCTTCACACTTGAGAAAGATCTATCTTTCTGCTAAATGTTTTGAAGCAAAATATTTATTGGTACATTTTAGATTTACACAATGATAATGTTCATCATAGGGAATTCATACCTGTACATGATATATCTTGCTTCTTTTTTCCATTACCCTCTCCACCCTTTGACCCCTCTGCCCCTCCTTATTTACAAAAGCTTTATTTCCATTTTTTTCTTGTTCCTTTTTTACTTTCTCCTACTCCCTTCCTTGTTCTCCTTCTCATTTGAACATTTTCTTCCCAGTTCCCCATATCTGTTATATATTTTGGTCCTCTTCTCCACTTTTGATTTCTCACACCAGAGAAACAATGCAGTATTTAAACATTTGTGTCCGATTTATCTTGCTTAAGAATGTGGTCTCAAAGTGTATTCATTTAGCTAGAAATGTCTCAAGCTTACTATCTTTATGGCAGAGTAGTACTCCATTGTAAAAAAAAAAAACACCACATCTTCTTTATCCATTCATTGGTTGATGGGCATTTGGGCTGCTAATTATATTTTAAATAGATTCTGAGTGCTGTAAATTTTCTTTACATTAAAGGCATTGCCCAGCTCTACCAGAATCTTAACTACTCTAGGAAATCCATCCAAATTGCCCTGGCTAAAAGGAGAAATCTTGGTTTCTTTTAAATTCTTTAGCATTTGTTAATATTTTGTTTAGTTTAACTCTTCTTTTCCTCTAGTAGTATACTTGCCCTCTAGTAGTATACTTGCAATCTCATTTAAACCTATTCGTCTTTAACTGTTCTGGACTCCATTTACAGAAAACAGTAGATTCTTTGGGAAAATAAGGTAATATTTTTAAATCACAGTGAATTGGTTTTATAAGATGCTAGTATATATTTATATGTACATTAAAATTATTTTTTTAAAGCCAAAAAGAGCTGTTGGGAAGGTGTAATGTTTACATCATCTAGGCTAAAAAATGCTTTTGGAGAAGAGGAGATGAGTTAGAGTAGACTTTGAATTCCATTATCCTTTAATCCATTTTGTGTTGCTGTCACAAAATACCACAGATAGATAAGGTATGAAGAAAAGAAATTTAGTTTTCACCCTTCTGGAATGTGGGAAGTCCTTCAGTATCATGGTGCCAATGTCTATGGAGCCTTCTTCCTGTAAACTCACAGCTCTAAGCCCATTTTATAATAATTCAGTTTTGAGCAGTTTATGAGGTTGGAGCGGAGCTCTCATGACCTAAACAGTTTGCCTTAGGTCCCACTAACAACAGCATTTTTGGGGGGGTTAAGATTCCAACATATGCTTTTAGGGGGACATATTCAAACCACAGCATTTATTAAGCATATTATATTCTAAACCCTGGGCAAAATGTGCAATCAGTTTCTGATTATAATGAATAATCAATTATCATGTTAAGTGAGTGATGAATGATTAAATAACTTGTATTAATCCCTGTACAACAGCTTCCCTTGTATATTAGTCTGCTTTCTTGTCACTGAGGCACAATGCTCAACATTCACAATTTAAAGGCAGAGAGGTTTAATTTGAACATGGTTTCAGGGTATTCAGTCCCTGGTCAGTTGGCTCCAAAATAGAAAAATTATAGCAGAAGTGTATAGCAAAGAAATGATGCTAGTTTGTTGTATTCAGGAAGTAAAGTAGGGGAACAAGGCCAGAAAAGAAGAGGCCAGGGATCAGATATATTACCACAATAACACCTCCATGACCCACCTAGGTACACCCAGAAGAGTGCTTTAATAATCCCCTTTAGCAGCTCCCAAGCCAAGTGAGTTGACATAGATGGCTAACCACCATGCCCTGCTTTATATCTCATATTACACTTTACATTTATATATTAAGTATGTCTGATTTCCTCATTAGACTATGCACTTGAAAATAGAAGGTAATTTTGTCATCAGTGTGTACCCAGCACTTAGCATAGTTCATATTTCTTGAATGAAATATAGGCAAGTATAGGAGCACCTAATTTTCTTTTTCTTTTAACCAGGGATTGAACTCAGGTCCAGTCGCACTTGTGAGGCAGGCACCAGAACCACTAAGCTAAATCCCTGGCGCTAGGAGCACCTAATTTTATAGCTTCCCAGGGAGAGGAGAAACAGGAAGAATGTCTCAGGTAGAGGGAATAGCACATCCAAGACTGAGAAAAGGAAATCTTGCTTTATATGAGAAAAGTTCCTTAGCGTGGCCATCACACACAGTTGGAGATTAGAAATGGTCAGGGGTGAAGCTGGGGAAACAAAGGAGTGATTCTTGAAAGGCTTTGTAAAGCTATATTGATCAGTTTGGATTTTTATCTTAGTATTTTTTTGTACCAATATTCAACTCCGGACCCCTTATCTTAGTATTGAGATGTTATTGAGGGTTTTAAAGAGGAGAGAAAGTTAGTCAAATTTGGTTTTTAGAAAGATTGCTGTGAGTACACTGGGGAAATGGATAAGCAGGAAGAACAAGAAAGAGATGAATCAGGAATTTTTTTTGTGATGTTTGAAGTTAGATGTATGTGATGGTGGTCTAGACTAGGGAAGTAGTACTGAGGATGGGGATTGATGAATGGGTTTGAGAAATATTTAAAATCAAATGGACTTGGAGTTAGGGCAGGACTGTCAAATTGGAGGGAGGAGTGAGGTCGAGGGCCCTCAGGTTTCAGCTTTACTTGGAACTATCTGCAGGTAAAAGTTAACATACCAGGCCTAAGACTGTCATCCTTAGAAACCCCTTACAAAATTGGCATTTGACGGGCATCTGGGAACTTACTGGGAAACCCTTCACCACACTGATATAAAGCTGTCCTTATGACACACGATGCCTAATATGGTTTATAATGAACACTTCCTTCTAAGAATCTGGGATTTCAATGCATACTAAGCAAAAGGTGACTTCTATGTAACCTGCTGTCACTAAAACCCTCAGACACTGGGTCTCTAAATGACCTTCCTTGATAGGTTGTCATACAGGTTGTTACAGCTTGTTGGAGGATGTGCATTCTGGTTTGGACATGTGGTATAAATGTGTTGTCTAGTACTCAGGACCACGTTCTGGGCTGAGGATACGAATTTTAACATATCGTCATTTGGATAGTTTTTGATACCAAGGCAAATAAATGAAATTGCCAAGGAAGTATAAAACCTTGAAGATAATGGACATTTAAAGATTGAGCCTACAAAGAAGAGCTGAAAGAGTTAAACGAGAAGCCGGAGAGATGGGAAGAAAACAAGAAAGGGATCCCATTAGCTTTCTAAAATGTCTTATTTGGACCTGTGGGAAGAAGGACATCCCCAAAGAAGTCAAGGGAAGCATTTGTAAGGGAAGCATGATGTCAGATAAGAAAAGGACTGATAAACTGGATTTAGTAACAAGTTTGTTGGTGATCTAAGCAAGACCAGTTTTCATATAATTTGTTTTTGATACTGGATCTTGCTATGTCGCTTATGCTAGTCTTTAACTTGAGATTCTGCTTCAGCCCTTTGAGTAGCTGGGATTACAGATGTGCACCATCACACCTGGCTGTCTTCTTTGCTTTTCTTTTGCAGTTCTGGGGACAGAGCCCAGAGCCTTGTACATTCTACACATGTACTCTCCTACTGTGCTATATCCCCACTCCAGTTTTAGTATACTCTGGAGGCACACAGTTCCTTAAAAGGATGATAAAAGAAGATCTTGCATGATAGATAAAATGATATGGGTTTTTTTTTTTTTTTTTTTTTGGTACTGGGGATCAAACTCAGATTCTTGTGCTAACGAGGCAGGCGGCAGAACCACTGAGCCAAATCCCCGGCCCTGAAGGGATCATTTTTGATGGGTAAGTTTGTAGCACAGTTGCATTGCAATCTGATAAATTAAGAAGAAACAGGAGAGGGAGTAATCAATAGGGGTGACAGGAAACTGATTTGCTAAGAACAAGAATTTATAGTTTGAGTAAACTGTAGGGAGGATCTGAACTAATCATTTCACTTTACAGATGCAAAAACGGGTCCAGGAAAAGAAACCGTGGTCCTGTAGATGGGCAGGATCAGCTAAATGATTATAGATCACAAAAACAATGTTGATTTCAGAAACTATTAGCCAATACTTCTAATATTAAATGGTGGGATATACATTTGTTTGAGGTTGAAGGTGGGCAGCTTTTGTAAGGATTTCAGGTTTGGGATATGTCAAATGAATTTTATTTTCATTTTTTACTAACAGTGCCAGATTGGCCTCTCTTTTTGGACTGGATGAGGCATCTGCTGGCCATGGAAATGAATTCTTTCAGTACACAGCCCCAAAACAGCCTAAGAAAGGCCAGGGAACAACAGCAACAGGTAAGTTGAGAGGGATTAGGATTGCGCTTTCACAGGTTACTTAGAATGGTAAGCAGCCTTCTAAAAGTGACATGCCAGGTCATGTACCCTTCTTTAGTCTGGCTAAACTCACCACTAGTGGTAGATGGCTCTCTGAGCTTTGGTTACAGATACAGGAGAGGGAAGAATGCTGAGCCAAATGAAAGGCTTATACAGGTATAGGCCTCTACCCCTCTGGCAGACCCACCAACAGCCTTCCCTACTTAAGAGATCAGATAGGGTGATACTGGCCTGAGTATATTGGCAGAAGCCGACCTAACTTGAAAAAGGATGCTTGTCTGGCCTTCGGAGATGCTAGTAATTTTTCTCAGTGTTCCAGATTTGTTCAGGTATTCTAACTCTGGCCTTAGCTACTTTTTAATTTTTTTTGTTATAGACTGCTTATTAGGTTAACAGATATTTTGTATTATTACACACAGCAAGTGCTGGCTGAATTAAAAACTATATTGTAGGTTTTTACAAAATAATAAGGAAAGCATGAACACTAGGAAAATAAGCAAACAACACAAATAGACAATTCATGGTTTTCTTTTTAATTGAGTTTATTGGTACATTTTAGGTATACAGTACAGTTACATTCATTATTGGGATCTTTTACCTTTACATGACAAGTCTTGGTTCTCATTTTTTCCCCTTGTCCCTGCCCTCCCTTCATTCCCTCCTCCTCTCCCCATTTACAGACACTTTATTTCCATTTTTTCATTTTCTCATATTTTGACAGTTCATGTTTTAAAGATCTATAAAAATGTTACAATTTCTGCTTCTCTGTCATCAATAAATGCAAATAAAGGTACCAAAGAGATGTTGTTCCCCTTTCTCTACTGGCCCTTTACACTGGTAACAGAATGGGTACCCTCTTACACTGGTGTGAGGTGGGAGTGTAGACTGGTGTGGCTTTTTGTTGTTGTTGTTCCCCGAGACAAAGTCTGTGTGTGTTGTCCAGGCTGGCCCCATACTTGGAGCCTTCCTGTCTTCTGCCTCCTGAGTAGTAGGGATTACAAGTGTGTGCCACTGCACCTAGTTTTGCTATTGCATTTCTGAAGAATATATTGGGAGAATGTAATAAAACCCTAATTTTCTTATACTCCTTCACTGTATAATTCCATTTTTAGGAATTTATTCCCACAAAGTAATCAGAAGTACATACAAAAAGGCGTGTTTTAAGTACAGTATGTTCACTGTAGCATTCTGGATAATGGAGAAAGACTGGAAACAACCTAAAGAAGTTTCAAATAATGGGAAGTTGAGTAAATCTGGTACACTTATAGTATTTTATGTAGTTAGTGAAAAGCATTTTTAAGGACTAATTTGCTTTTGTTTTGAAAAGTAGAGAAAATATGTAATGTATTGAGGAAAGGAAGGTATGGTGCATGGTTAATTTTCTTTTAAAAAAATAAAGCTGCAGAGTTTATGTGTATAAAGTACTAGGAATAAACACATCAAATTATTAACATTGTTCATTTTTTTATTGGTGAGATTATAGGTCACTTTTTATTTCCTTTATGCTTTTGTATATTTTCTAAGTTTTCTACTAGGTACTTATCCTGTGATACATAAAATCAATACAAAAATAGGAGTGCTTTTGAAAATAAGTTCTTGATTTTTATCTCACTACTCTTAACAGCATATTCACCCAGTGAATGTAAATAAGCAGGTATTCTTCTGGTCCTGGGGATTGAACCCAAGGCCTTCTACATGTTGAGCACTTACTTGCTCTACCATTGAGCTATATTGCAGTCTGCAATTTACTCTTAATATACTGTTTTAAAACAGTAGTGTTATTCTGTAGCACCTGTGAAGTTCAGTAATGTCATTTAAATATCATCCTAAATGTCCTGCCCCAGAAGAAAGATGAAGAGAAATAAAGTTTATTTTTATATGTCATAGCTATCAAATATTGGAAGGAGAAAAGAAAATACATGGAATATGACCTTGCTTTTTAGACAGTCTGTCTTGTCCAGCCCAGAGACTTGTGGTGGATGTTCAGAGTCACGAGTTATATAGTTCCTAGGCTTTGCTGCTATCATGTGTGAGGCACTTGGGTTCTTAGAGCCTGTTTCCTCACCCCAAGATGAGGTCATAAGACTGTTTTGTGGATCACATGAGGATAATGGTCATGAAAACATGGTAACACTAAGTATGCGGTGTAAAGAATTTGAAGCTAGTCTAGTGGTTAAACTCAATTTCAAGCAAGAAATGAGTGACAGCTTTGTTTTCTTCTTATTTTCAGAAAATCAGGCTCCAAAACCAGCACCAACCACTCCAGGCACTTCCATTGTGTTGGTTGCAACAGCAGTTCATGCTTATCGATAGTAAGTAGCTCAGAAGAAAAGCTCTCTAAAGTTTGGTGGAGGGGAGGGGAGTACGGTTAAGCTCCTCTTTTCTCAAAAAGCTAATATTTATTGCAAACATAATGTTTACATTCCTTGTGTGGATTTGGTTCATGTTATCCACATGTATCAGTAATACTCTCAACATTTTAGTTGGAGATCTCTTCACATAAAACTTGCAGAGGCATTGTCTTGTCTACTTTCTTCAAGCACTTTTTTAATTTATTTTTTTGGTACCAGGGATGGAATTCCGGTCCTTGCGCTTGCAAGGCAGGCAGCAGAACCACTGAGCTAAATCCCCAGCCCCCTTCAAGCACTTTTAACCTCAATAATTGACTTCTTAAATTCTCAAGGAAAGCCATTCTATTGGGATAACATGATAGATATTTAAAGAGTAAAGAAGTTGTATAAGAGCTTTAAGTTATAAACTGCTTGCCTCTTTCCCTTTCTGGAGGCTGAATGAGTAGATCTCTCATTTCTGTATGTCACGAAAGAAAGCTGTTCTATATAATTTAGAGGAATATTAATGCTTCTTGTTTTTCTTGCTTCAATAGCACAAATGGTCAATATGTAAAGCAGGGAAAATTTGGTGCTGCAGTCCTGGGGAACCACATAACCAGAGAGGTGAGAATGCCTCATATTTCATGCCTATTAAGATGTCCCAAATAATGCCGGTGAGCTGGATTTTAACCTGGGCTTTCCCAGTGTTTCATGTGTCAGAGGATTAGAATGATTGTTGGTATTACACATGAATTGTAATATTAGGATATAATAAATTATTACAGTTTGCTTACTCTTAGGCATCTTAAAAAAAATCTCACCACTCTAAATCTTTACAACATCTCTTTGGGGATATGGTCCTAGTTTAAGAATTATAAGAGTTTCAGAGTAAACCATTTATCAAAGGTATCCTTTTGTTGGATAGGTAATAACATTTATTCTGTACTGCTTACAGCATTATGTTTTTTGCTTATGTTAATGACCAATGTTTATCCTTTATAAATTTGAAAATAAGATTGGACAGTTGACTGTAGCATATTATTGGTAAGGGTCAAAGAGTAGATGTGGCTAAGGACCCAAGACTGATTTCCTTGTGGTTGTATCTAGCTTCAAATCATTCTCCAGAAGTTTAGTGTTCAGATTCCCTGCCCCCACCCCATTTTTTAAATAATCTGTTTGAATCAGGATCTAATAAGGTCATACAATGCAGTTGGTTGCTATGTCCTTTAAATCTTTCATTCTTCCATCAGGAGACAAATGATGTCTGCTTGTCTCTCATTTTGCTGCATTAGCAGTCATGGATGATAATTACCTAGATTTATTAATTCATTAGGAATTACTATTTGGATTTTTAAAATTTAGTATTGGGACTTTATCATATTTTGCCATTACATGGGATGTAGTGATTATATAGTGATGCAGTGATTATAAAGCAGAAGAATAACAAAAGTTATTCTTTAAAATTTACTGGAGAGATGTAGAATTGAACTAACATTTCATTCTACCTTGATAGAAGGAAGAGCAAATGATATGACTCTGTTTTTTTGCCTTGAGTCTTTTGCTGATTTTAGACAGCAGGTATACCCAAGCAGACTACTGGAGAAAGGAAAAATTGGCAGAACTAGAGGAACTCTGATCCCAAGACTAATTTTTCCCTCCATGCCTTATTTGCTGAGCTCTAGGATGGTGTGGATGTCCAGGGGCTATGCCAGAAATGCAGAGGGAAACTTCTGCAGTCTTATGGTGCATAGGAAATGCAACAAGAAGTCTTGCTCTCAATACATTTGCTAGAATTTGAACTTCATGGGGGAGACATGGTAGAGCTAAAGGACTCAGCTCCAAATCTCTGATAAGAGAAGTTCCAGAACTGAGGAGTTACAGATCTTCTCTTGGTCAAAATCTGGGAAGGTCATGCTTGAGAATCTGGATAACTCTAGGGTAGGTATACTGACTGGTAATAGTAAATTTATGAGGGCGGGGAGTTACCTCAGTGGTGCCACCGCCTGCCTTGCAAGCACCAGGTCCTGAGTTCGATCCCCAGTACTTTTTTCAAATTGGAATCAGTCCTCTCAAACCCTGCTGCTGCTTTATCAACTTAATTTATGCACTAGTTTAAATCCTTTGTTGTCATTTCGAGTGTTTACAACATCTTCATTAGAAGTAGATTCCATCTCAAGAAGCCTCTTGTTTTGCTCATCTATAAAGAGCAACTTCTCATCCATTGATGGTTTATTATGAGGTTAAGGCAGCTCAGTCCCATTGTCAGGCTCCACTTTAATTCTAGTTTTCTAGAATTAGGTGCTGTTTGCACCACATTTGCAGGTATTTCTTCCACCGAAGCCTTGAAACCCTCCAAGCCATACATGAGATTGGAGTCAGCTTCTTCCAAACTCCTGTTTGTGTTGATATTTTGACCCCTTACAAATCATGAATGACATCTAGCATGGTGACTCCTTTCTGGAAGATTTTCAGTTTAGTGTGTCCGCATCTATCAGAGGAATTACTGTGCTTGGCAGCAATAGCTTTAGATGTATTTCTTGAATAATGGGCCTGAATGTCAAAATGATTACTTGGTCCATCTGCTGCAGAATGAATGTTTTGCTAACAGGCCTGAAAAGAACATTATTTTTCCTGTGGTGGAGATCAAACCCAGGGCCTGGTTTATATTAGGCAAATGCTCTAGCACTAACTACATCCGTAGCTCCAACATAACACCAACAACATTAATCTTTTTTGTACATCTCCATCATAGCTTTTGAGTGCATCATAAGTGAGCAATAATATTTTGAAAAGAATATTTTTTTCTGAGTAATAGGTCTCAGCAGTGGGTTTAAGAATATTCAGTAACCATGCTGTAAACAGATATACTGTCCTCCAGGCTTTATTGTTGTTCTATTTGTAGTACAGAGGTTGAGTAGATTTTATATAATTCTTAAAGGGTTCTAGGTTTTTCAGAACAGGAAATGAGCATTGGTTTAAATTTAAAGTCACCAGCTGCATTACCCCCTAACTTGAAAGTCAGCCTGTCCTTTGAAACTTTTTTGTTTGTTTGGTTTTGGGTTTTTTTGCAGTACTGGGGACTGAACCCAGGGCCTTCTTTTTTTTTTTTTTTTTTTTTTTTTAAACCAGAGTCTCACTGAGTTGCAAAGTTGTCCAGGCTGGGCTCAAATTTGCAATCTCCTGCCACATCCCCTCAGAATGCTGAAATTCTGGGTGTGTGCCACCACACCCGGCTCCTTTGAAGCTTTGAAATCAGGCCTTGACTTTTTCTTTCTAGCTGTGAAAGTCCTAGATGGCATCTTCTTCCAATACAGAACAAGGCTATTTTTTCTACTTTGAAAATGTGTTGTTTGGTGTAACCACCTCCATCAATGACCTCATATTCTTGATGAGCTGCAGCTTCTACATCAGCAGTTGCTGCTTCACTGTGCATGCTCATATTAGGAGTTGGCTTCTTTTCTTAAACTTAATGAACCAACTAGCACTGGCTTTAGACTTTTCTTCTGGAGCCTCTTCATCTCTCAGAACCTCACAGAATTGAAGAGGGAGGGTTAGGACTTTGCACCTGACTGGACTTTGGCTACAGGGAGTACTATCGTTATTTTGGTCTAACCAGACCTCTGAAGCTTTCTTCACAACAGCAGTGAAGCTGTTTTGCTTTGCTTTCATTCATGCGTTCAGTAGAGTAGCAATTTCAGTTTCTTCAAGAACTTTTGCTTTGTATTCACAGCTGAGCTCATTGGCCAGAGGCCTAGCTTTTGGCCTCTCTTGGTTTTAGTCCTTCTTCGGTAAGTTTTTGCTAGCTTTTGGTTTAAAATAAGATGTGGAGCTCTTCCTTCACTTGAACACTTCAAGTAGGTTATTCATTGGCCATATTTCAATTCTGTTGTGTCTTGGAACAGAGTGGTGGAAAAGCAGAGATGGGGAACTGCTGGTTGTGGAGCAGTTACAGTACACACAGCATTTACCAGTTAAGCTGACAATCTCATGGGCACAGTTTATAGTGCCCCAAAACAGTTACACTGATAACATCAAAGATCACTGATGGTGGGGGTGACAAACGGTTGTAATCTCAGCACTCTAGGAGACTGAGGCAGGAAGACTGCAAGTTTCAGCCCAGCCTGGAAAATTCAGCGACTTAGGCCCTATCTTAAAATAAAAAAAGTCACTGATAGTAATCATCATAATAGATAAAACAACAATAATAATAAAGTTTTTAAAAATTTGAGGGGGGGTTTGAGACAGGGTCTCACTATGTAATTGAGACTGACCTGGAACTCACTATGTAGCCTAGGCTGGTTTCAAACTCACAGTGATCCTCCTGCCTCAGCCTCCAACCTGAGTGCTGGGATTACAGGCGTGAGCCACCACACCCGGCTAAAATGTTTTAAGAATTACCAAAATGTTTCACAAACATAAATTGAGCACATGCTTCTGGAGAAAATGGTGCCAGTAGACTTTTTTGATGCAGGGTTGCCACAGACCTTCAACTTGTAAAAAAGTGCAATATCTGCAAGGTACAATAAAGCAAAACATAATAAAAGGAGTTGTGTATGAGCAGGAGAATTGCTCAGTCATATGGTGTTTCTGTGTTTAACTTTTCAATAGTGGCCATAGCATTTAATATTCCCACAAGTAATATATGAGGGTTGCTCCACATCCTTGACAATATTTTTGTTATTTTGTTATTCTAGCCATTCTAGTAGATAAACAGTGGTATTTTACTGAGGTTTAATATGCATTGAATTCTTTTTCTTCTTCCTTTTTTTTTGGTGCTGAGGCTTGAACCCAGGGTCTGGCCCGTGCTAAGCACATGCTCTACCCCTGAACTACACCCCACAGACCCCATCTAGCATTCTATACTGAAATAAACACCTTCCAAAAATAAAGACTAAATTAATTGTTAGACAGACAAAAGCTGAGAGAATTCATTACCAGTAGATTTGTATTACAAGAAGCACTGAGTTCCATGGGTTGAAGGGAGTGAATGTTTATATCCTCCAGAAGACACAAAGAATGTTACAGAAGCACCATTCATAAAAGCTTCTGCCTAGAAACAACTTGAGTATCTATAAGTAGGAGCATGCTTAGTGGATTGTGATATATTCATGTAATACAATACTACATGACAATAAAAGAGAACAGTGTCCCGGTACGTGAAATAAAGCTTCATGTTATCAACACTGTAAGTGAGAGAAGCAAGACAAAAAAGGATATATACTAAAATTCCATTTATATAAATTTGAGAGTAACTAATTGGTGATTGAAGTCATACTAGTGGTTACTTTAGGGTTGGAATTATTATTATTATTATTATTATTATTATTATTATTATTATTATTATTTTGGTACTGGGGCTCAAACTCAGGTCCTTGTGCTTGTGAGACAGGCAGCAGAACCACTGGGCTAAATCCCTAGCCCAGGATTGGAATTATTGAAAGGAGGGGCACAGGGAGCTTTCCAGGCTGAGTGACCATGTAAGCATATATGTATATATATGTATATATATGTATATATATATATATATATATGTATATATGTGTATAAAAATGAGTTGTACATTTAAGATTTGTGCATTTACTAAATGAGTTTCCTTGATTTTGATATGATTTCCTTTTAAGTCACTATTAGTAATCTCTATAGGAATGAAAATATTGACAAATTAAAGACATTGATAATTATGCTTATTAAAGAATAAGGCAAAAATCAGCAAGGAGAAATGGACAGTGGAAAGATAGAATTTAAAACCTAAACTTTAAAGAATGAACAGTTTTGAATTTCATGGCTGTATGAAACACAACCCCATATCTTACTGCTGATTTTGTACTGCTTTTTAACTCTGTTCTCTTTTTTCTGCCCATCTATGATTGAATACAGTATAGGATTCTTCTTTATATCAGTCAGCAACAGCCAGTTACTGTTGCTAGGATCCATCTGAACTTTGAGCTAACGGTAAGAGTTCCCCATGTTGGATTCTGAGCCCTTTGGGAGGTTTGCAGGAGAGATGGGACTGACCATACTACTGCCTCAGTCCTGGGCATCAGTGTGAACATCTAACAGCATTTCAGAAAGTTCTCTTGGCTATTTCCTGGGAATGCAGACTATGGGGTTGTAGGTGGGAGAGAAGAAAGGCTGCTGATTCTCCTCTTTGGCTCTGCTTGAGTCCAGCTCTTCTCTGAGTGTAGACAGTCAGATTTAGTCAATATACTGCTTGTGCTTGAATTATGCCAACATTTTTATTTTTCAGGTTCGGCCCAATAACTACAGCACCTTTTATGATGACCAGAGGCAAAACTGGTCCATCATGTTTGAGTCAGAGAAGGCTGCTGTGGAATTCAATAAACAGGTGAAATTATCATACTCTTTCCTGTGCAAACCCAGTGCAAATTTCCTTAATTTTAGGAAAATACGTGGCAAACACATAACTGCTATATATTATTAGTGAAAAGCATGAAAACCCACTGAATTTGCCACTTCAGTCTGTTGTATTTCTGGAAAATAGAAATACTGAAATGGTTTTATAATGAGACTTTTTAAGAGGAAAAGAAATTGAATGTAAGTTTACTTGATTAAAATATGTTTTGCTATCCAGATTATCTGATGGAATTAAAACTCTTTGTGTGTGCGTGCGTGCGTGCGTGCGTGCGTGTGTGTGTGTGTGTGGTACTGAGTTTTAAACTCCAGGCTTCATGCATACTAATCAAGTGCTTCACCAGTGAGCTATACCCAAGCCCCCTTTTTTATTTTAGAGACAGGATTTTGCTTAAGTTGCCCAGGCTGGCCTCCAACTTGGAATCTTCCTGCCTCGCCCTCCTGAGTAGCTGAGATTACAGACATGTACCACCACACCTGGCAAAACTCTTTAAAATAATGTTTTAAAATAATTTTTTATGTTATCACATATTCATTGTAGGAAATCTAGAAAAACACTTTAAAAAAATCACTCATATCCAAAGTAACTATTATTAGCATTGCTTTTCTTCAATGCATTATATATATAAGTAGATGTATTCCTTTAAGAGTTCTATATCTTGCTTCTTTTATCTTTTTTCATCTCATGAAAAATAGTTTTGAAACATTTTTGAAGACTGCAGGTGTTAACTATGCTTTGAATATATGTATCCCTCCAAATTTCATATCATTGAAATCAAGAAGTAAGGTCATGGTTTAATTATCTCCTAAAAGGCGCACCTCCTAACACCAACATATTGAAGGTTAGAATTTCAGCATGTGAATTTTGCAAGGGACACAGACATTTAGTCCACAAGAGTTGCTCCTTAATTTATTTAACCATTCCTTTATTTTTATATTGTTTTCAGTCTGTGCAATAAATGATACTGAAGTGAGTATCTTAAAAATTAGTCTATCCTTTTTATCCCTTCACATATTTCCTTACACTTTATTTCCAGAGGCAATTGAGTAAGTCAAAGGTTGAGATATTTTTAATATTGGAAAACACTCTGACACAGTGCTTTTCAGGATTATATTATTTCACATTCATATCAGTTCCCTCACTGTACCTTTGCTAGCATTTCAAATGATCTTTTTTCCTTTTTGTTTTACTCACCTGATAAAAATAATAATATTCTCTTGTTTTAGTTAATATTTGACTGTAATAATGAAGCTTTTAAAAAGAAAATGAGTAGAAAGTTTTTATTGCATAATTAAAACATTATTGTATGTAATAATTTTTCACAAAGATGAGTCTGACTCCTTTGCTAAAATTTGTGCTAGGAGAGTGTGATCAGGTCTGTAGGTGGTGGTTGTGATGTGAGCATCTAGGTACTGTCTGTGGCGGTGCCTTTTGAAATTTTTTGGAAACTCTTACAGGCTCCAAAATACTGAAACATTAAATCAGTATACTAATCATAGCAAATATTTATTGAGTGCTTATTATTTATGCCCAAATGTACTGCCAAGTATTGTACTTGTATCTGCTCATTTAATTTTCATAACCACCTGGTAAAACATGAAATTTTTTTTCTTTTTTTTTACAAATGAGGATCTCAGGTACATGGAGATTAAGTTATTTGGCCAGGGTTGGAGTGGAGAACTGACCCATATATTCTGACTCCAAAGCCATACTCTTAGGCACTCTCATTCTCACTTTGGATTGATTAACTTTTAAATACTTAATGTTTATTAGAGAGTGTGGCTGTTTGGAAAAGAGCATTAGCAATAAAGGAATGAGTACTTCTTTTTTTCGTTTGTTTTTTTGAGATAGAGTCTCACAGGCCAGCCTTGAACTGATCTCATAGCCCAGGCAGGCCTGGAACTCATAGTGATCCTCCTGCCTCAGCCTCCCAAGTGCTGGGATTACAGTTATGTGCCACCATGCCTGGCTAAGGAATGAGTACTTTTTGAGCATAAATCAAATTAATGCTGTTTTGATTTTTGTCTTGCAGGTGTGCATTGCTAAGTGCAACAGCACCTCCACCTTGGAAGCAGTGCTCTCTCAGGACCTCATTGTGGCAGAGGGCTCTGCTGTAGAAGCAGGAGACTCTTTGGAAGTGGCCTATACTGGTTGGCTCTTTCAAAATCATGTTCTGGGCCAGGTAAGAAAATGTACTCTAGTCGGGTATGGTGGCTCACGCCTGTAATCCCAGCACTTGGGAGGCTGAGGCAGGAGGATTGCTGTGAGTTCAAGACCAGCCTGAGCTACATAGTGAGTTCCAGGTCAGTCTCAACTACATAGTGAGACCCTGTCTCAAAAAACAAAAAACAAACAAAAAGAAAATGTACTCTACAAGGTTTTGTAGTTAGTATAAGAATACAGAGACTACTCCCACGGAAGAAGGCATTGCTATTTTTGGCAGATAGAACTCTTTTAGGAGCCCTGCTTCAGTCATTACAGCTGCTTTTAGGGTGTATTTGTGAAATTGTGATGTTTAAGTCTGCTCAGTGCCACTTGCTCTTTTGTACTTAGTGTAAGTGGAAACCAATTCCCCAAAGACTATTTTTGCCAATTGTTGTGTCTTCTTCTATGCCAGTTTCAAACTTGAATATATTCTTAAGGCATTAGATCTTAGTTGTTAGAGACTTTTCGTAGTTCTTCTTATAGAAGATGCTGTAAGTAATGTGGAGCTTGTTGAGTTTTAATATCCCGAAGCCCTCAAAAACAATGTGATATGACAGAAAGATTTTAGATTATTAATTAAAATATATAGCTATAAGTTTCAATTTTGTCTGAATTTGACCTCGATTATTTTTTTTTTTCCATTTGTGAATGGAGGCTATTGCTTACTTGGTAGGACTGGTGTGGCCATCAAATAAGATAATTTATTTGAAAATTCTTTGTGGATGAAAATATTTAAGTTCAAGGTAGTAAAAATATATTTTTTTCTTACATCTGGAAAAGTCTCAGAGATGTTTGCTGTAATAACACCCTTTAGTCAGATATGGTCCCACCTTTTCAGGTTTTTCAAGATCTACTTTTCGCATTATATCTGATATTCCCTATTGTAGCAGTACTGAGCTGATATGTAGTTAGTTGAACATTATAGTGATTATTAATATTTTTGAAATTGTCAGACCTCATGTACTTTCATCAAATTGCAGGTTTTTGACTCCACTGCTGTCAAAGATAAATTGCTTCGCCTGAAATTAGGATCAGGAAAAGTCATCAAGGTAAAGACATATCTGTCTTTTAGAATTTAGTTTAAATTGTGTGGCATTTCTAACTTGGCTATATTTTCTTTTGGGGGGAAATATACCTTCTGAGAGTCCAGAAATGCTTTGTTGAAAAGAAAGAGAGCAAAAATATGTTACATTATCAACATTTGGGAGATTTTTAAGCCTATGACACTATATTGAAAATAGATACATTTGTTTTCTGTAATCCCTACTCTCTCTTTTTATCCTGTGATTCTTGAGGAAATTATTACATCCTTCCTATAACTTAACAAGAAAAGGGATAAAACTGTTCCCTTTGGAATTGTGTGTCACTTAGGTTCATGTTGTGAATTTTGTTTATATTAACTGTGCCAGTATTTCATAAAAGAGCATTTTATGTATGTAAAATTTTATCATGTCAGGACATCATTGATACATTATATTGTATTCATTTATCTGTGTAACAAAAAGCTTTTCTCCATTGTTTTATGACTGCTTTTCCTGGAACTCTGGAGATTTTTTTCCTTGTAGATATAGCAGTTAAGGCATGGTTCTTGAAGCTAGACAGGTCCTGTGTTGAATCTTGGCTTAATGACTTACCAACTTTGTGATCTTTTGCTAGTTACTTAATGTCCACAAAACTCAATTTTCTTATTTATAAAATAGAAATAATTCTGTCAACCTATTGAGATTATTGGAGGGATTTAACAAGATAATGCATATAAAACAGTTAACCACAGAATATGGAAGAAATGCTTAATAAATGATAGCCTTTATTTCTGTCTTACTGCTATTTAATTCCTCTTATTTTCTCTCATCACCTGAGATAAGTATATTTTACCCAACCCAAGAAATACCAGCATTTTACCAGTAGATTGTAAAGATAGGTTCTAGATTTTTATTTATTTATTGTTTAGGGTCTCCCTATGTAGTTTTAGGCTAGTCCTAAATTCACTATATAGCCCAGGCTGGCCTAGAACTTATGGGGATCCTCCTGTTTCAGCCTCTCGAGTGCTGAGATTACAGGCATGGACCACTATGCCTGGCTTACTCTTGTTTGTTGTTTTTTTGAGACAAGGTCTTTCTGATCAGTTCAGGCTGGCCTGGAACTCACAGCAATCTTCCTGCCTCCTGAGTGCTGGGATTACAGTCGTGTGCTACTATGCCTGCTTATTCTTATAACCAATTTGGGTAATAGTTAAACTCGACCTGTGGAAGAACTGTCCAAACCTGAAAGTAGATAAGTGAAACTCAGTGTTCCACTTGTCCTATGATGTGTTTCTTGTCTAAAGAGGTTTTCTCCATCTCTGATTCTAAAGGCCTGGGAGGATGGAATGCTGGGCATGAAAAAAGGAGGAAAGCGGTTGCTCATTGTCCCTGCTACCTGTGCGGCTGGCTCCGAAGGGGTAATAGGCTGGACTCAATCAGCAGACTCTGTCTTGGTGTTCGAGGTGGAGATTAAGCGGGTGAGTGAAACTGCTATGTGTGCTTGATGAGTCCTCCAGGTATCTCCTTGCTAGTAAACTAAAATGAATAACTAAATGAATATACTTGAAAACCAGATGCTGAAACCACACATTTTTTGTTTGTGCTGTTTTGTTAAAGTGGAAATGGTGTAGTTGGAAAGATCCACAACTTAGGAATCTAAAGACCAAGGTTTATGTCCCTCCTGGTCTCTCTTCAGAGTGTGGAGGTTATAACTTGGGACAAAGTATTTTTCCACACTAAGCTTCTTTTTAGTTTGTGTATAAAATAGGTATGTGCATCTTTTGACTTAGTGATTCTATTGATACAAATTTATCCTAATGGAGTTGTAGCTCAGAGGTAGAGTACTTGCTTAGTATGTGTTTGGCCCTGGGTTCAAGTCCCTGCATAACAAAAAATCAATCAGTTCTATTGATGCATTTATATGATTATGTGAAGATATATATATCTGTGTATGTGTGTTTTCTGTTACACTGTTTGTAATAGTAAAAACTGGAAACAACCTAAGTGTTGGTTAAGATATATACATATTTTTTTTTCAGAATGGACCTTTATATGGCCTTTGAAGGATATACATAAACTAGGCTATGCGTGGTGGTGAATGCCTGTAATTCCAGCTATTCCAGAGGCTAAAGCAGGAGGCTCAAAAATGTGAGACCAGCCTGTGGAACTTAGTCAGACCTTGTTTCAAAATAAAAACATAAAAAGGGCTGGGAATACAGCTCAGTGGTAGAGCATCCAGCAGCCCCAAGGCCCTGGTTCAATCCCTAGTACTGCACACATACACACACCAAAAAATTACATAATCTGTTGTTAAGTGAAAGAGCCAGGTTGCAGAATAATATGGTTAACATGGTCTCGTGTGTGTGTATGTGTGTGTATACACACATATATGTACACATACAGTCATACAGGCACTATATAGAAAATTTCTGGAAGCTTTTGTTTTTATTTTTATTTTTTTGAGACAAGGTCTCACTATGTAGTTCAGGCTGGTCTTGAACTCACTATGTAGCCCAGCCTGGCCTGGAACTCACAGTAATCCTCCTGCCTCAGCCTCCCGAGTGCTGGGATTACAGGCATGTGCCACCATTCCTGGCTCTGGAAGCTTTAAAAGAAATGATTGACACTTTTTCTCTAGAGAGTGGAAATACAGTTCAGAAACCTTTTCACATCTCACCTTTTTATACCACCTAAACATGTCATCATTTCTATTAAAAATAACAACAGATTGTAACTAATGCCCTTTTCTCCCAGAATGACTGTTTGCTTTACACTGTGATTATTTGGTTCAAATGTGATAGTATTTGTGACTGTAAACTATAAAATACAATACAAATAACAAATATGGCCAACTTCTTCATGTGGCTGTTATTTCTGCTACAACAGAGGAAGGATATGCTCTCTTTTCTTTTCAGTACTGAGGGTTGAACCCAGGCCTTTATTTTGAGACAGGATCTTGCTAAGTTGTCTAAGCTGACCTCAGATTTGCAGGTGTGTACTTCTGTACCTAGCAAATTCTTTTTAAAAAAAAAAAGTTTTTATAATTACTATCGGTTTTTCCTTGAATTTGAGGAAGTAATAGCTGATGATAACAAACCAGTATGAATCTATTAAGACTAGCATTTTGTAAACATAAGAAAAAAAATCTTCTATTTTACCAATAACCAAGAATTAGTCATATTAAACTGATAAGGCTGATAGTGACCATATCTAGTGTAGCAAGAGTGTTAAGGAAGATTTCTGCAGTATTTGAGCTATATAAACCAGCTCATTCTTTCTGGTGGGAATTTCTTGTTGTTTTTATTTCTTGAGACAGAGTCTCACCTGATAGTCCAGGCTGGTCCAGGCTGGCCTTGAAATTGCAACCCTCCTGCCTTACCAACCTGATGTTACAGGTGTGTGCCACTGCCCCGACCTTTTGGTGGGAAACTTAAGGCATATGTTAAAAAGTCTTAAAAATCAGCACACCTTTTGTATTGGTCTGCTTTACCTGACACAACCTAAAAAAAGAGGTTTGTTTGGCTCACAGTTTCTTCTTTTTTTAGAACCATTGCATATTTAATGTCAGTTCAAATTCAAGTACAAAAATTAAACAACACATGATTTCAACATTAGAAATCATAATACTTCTTATTCAAATACAGTAATATGAAGAACACAAATGAAGCGCAACTATAAAAATCTTAAGTATATATATTAACAGCAAACAATTTATTTCTGCAGCAAATATTAAACATATTTATAGCTATTTTCAGGGACTACAATGGTAGATTGTGTTTTAGTATTGCATAAAATCTGCACCTTAATCTTTTTGTGTTATTATGTCTTTCTGCCTAATATATAATTATTTCAGTCTCCAATACAGATAGTGATCCTTGGTTATCAAGTATTATATACTGTTGTTTTCAATGGCCTAATATTCGCAAATACTTTTTAAAGTAGTTACACAAAAAATAACAAACTACTAGGATCTGTTACTGCCCGCTCAGGAATTACAAGAAAATTGCAAGTTTAAAAAGAATAGCAGTTTGCTGAACCAATGAATAACTTTTCAAATGTTGGATTTTTGTAAATTCTATCATTTTGTTATTTTGAACTATAGCTGATTAGCTGATGTTTTATATATATGATTTTAAAAAATTTTTTTTGTACCAGGGTTCGAACTCAGGTCCCTGCTCTTGCAAGGCAGGCAGTGGAACCACTGAGCTAAATCCCCAGCCCTATATATTTTTGTTGTTGTTGTTGTTGTTGTTGTTGTTTTGGAGGCAGGGACCAGGGAATCGAACCCAGGACTTTGCACTTGCGAGGCAGGCAGTGGCACCACTGATCTAAATCCTCAGCCCTGAGATATATTATTTGTAAAACCAAATGTGCAAATCTGATTCTAAAACAGTATTTTAATTTACATGCTTTACACAAAGTAGTTTTCATACTGTTGTTTTTGTTTTTGTTTTCTTTTGTGGTACTGGGAATCGAACTCAGGGCCTTGCACTTGTCAGGCAGGCACTGCACTGCTGAGCTACATCCCTGGTCCCATACTAGTGTTTACAGATTTTATTCACAAGAATGAGGCCTGATTGGAGATACATAGTCATTGTCCAACCTGGCTGCAAGTGATATTGTTGGTGACAAGGGATAGCTTGGATAAGACTAAGGCCTTGAAGTATATTGAAGCATATTGAGAATCCTAGAAGAGATGGTAGCACCAAAGGGCAAAGAGTATTTATTAAGCTGCAACTGAAACTATAGTCTGTAAATAAATACAAGGACAATTACATTGTACATCTTTCTGGACACAAATTTAATTCAAAGAGACAAAGCATTAAACTGTAATCATATTTTAATATAACAGTCTAACATTCAAAATCTTGATGATACTATATCAGTGGTAAAGATTGATTTCATGTTCACCGCAATCCCAATCCTCAGTTTTATTAACTATTGATCCTCTTACTTTTATCAGTAATGTTTTCCTTCCGTGGTGCAGTGCTTCAGAGGTCTGACTAGAATGCAATTCTTGGATTTTTTTTTTTTTTGGTACCGGGGATCGAACTCGGGTCCTTGCACTTGCAAGGCAGGCCGTAGAGCCACTGAGCTAAATCTCCAGCCCAATTTTTTTTTTTTTAATATAGAAAAAGAAAATTTCTCTTGCTCTGCAAAGATTCTTTTAAATTTTGTTCTAACACTAAGAAGCAGTTTATGAAGGAAAAAAAAAATAACAATTCAGTTACTTTTGAAAAAACTATATTAGACATCAAACCAGCAGAAACATTTGGCATAAACTAGCTTATTATTAACTATTTCATTATTTCAATGCTAATAAACATTTATATGACTTCACATACCAATTTAATATTAAGAGTCCTACAGGTACCACAAAACAGTAAAATGAATCTTTATAAAATAAAGTTTAAGAAATCACTATTAACTTGTAGCATAGAAAAATATTCAAAAATTAAACCAAATTATTAAAAATTATATTTGAAATATTAGTTTCACATTTTATATTCATCATATGTACCAATGCTTTCCTACTTTGTTAATTATAATAATTACATAAATTGGTAAATCCTGTATTTTTTAAAAACTCAACTATGTTCTTCAGTGTAACATAAGTCAAAGGTATGACAGTGACTATAAAATGGTTACTTATAAAAATGAGTGTGTTTCTAGGAATGAAAGAAAAATTTGATCATTTATTTTCTCTGTAATATTGTCCTGGTACCGGAAACAAGGCCTGTAACACACATAAGCTTCCTGTTTAGCTGACAAGAATTAGAATAAACTGCAGAATAAACTTAAGCAACATCAGAAAGGACCTGCTTATTGTCTCCAAATTCTTCTACACAGGTCCAGGCTGAAGAGATTGCGTTCCCTGTCCAAATGAAGCAATGTAAACTGGGCTGCCAGTTCCTTTGCATCTTCTAGTGTAGTACAGAGTTTGTCTGGCATGAAGTAACTCTGGGATCCATTTGCAATTGCAGGAATAACTATTTTGTATACCAGGAGTACTTTCCCATCTGGACTGGTTGTTGAGTATAAATAATATTCTGGTGGTGCCCAGTTATTTTTGTTGCAGTAATAGTCCAAGTATATTACCGCAGAATTAAAATGATTGGATTTTAAAGAATATATACTAATCGGAGTAAGCTTTGTTCCAGGAAAAATAGGATAAGTGCATCTTTCAATTTCAAGGGCACTTGGGCTATGCTGACCGTGGAGACAAGCTGGAAGAGTTGGTGGCTTGCCTAACGTTTTGGGGTGGCTGTCTTCTTTGTTAGCATACACAGTCAGGTTTTCAGCACTGTGGCTCCTCTGACCACTGAGATGCTGTCGCCAAGTGTTCTCTTTATTTACTGGTTTTGCAAGTGTTACCTCAATACTTGCTCCATCAATGCATTTTCCACTCATAGCTGACATAGCAGCCACTGCATCTTCTCGGTTGAGAAAGTGAACAAAAGCATAATCTCTCAGTTTTTTTACTCGTTCAACTGCACCTGGTTTGAATCTGTTGAATTCTGCTTTAATTGTTTCCTCTGTAGTTGAGATCATTAAATTTCTTACATAGAGAACTTTAACTCTTTGCATGGTTTCCTCATCAACCTCTTCCTCTGAATCAGCCCAATTGACCTGAATGGTGTGACCCCACAGCTGAACCGTCCCTGGGACTAATTTTCTCCTAGCCATAGCAGCGGCTCTATGAGATTCATACTCAACAAAAGCAAAACCACGATTTTTGGTCTTATCAGTTGCACTTGGATAAACAATGACATCTACAACTCCTTCTGTAACCTTCTTCATTTCATCCAAGATTTCTTGTTTCTTCTTTTCCTTGGGAATGGCTCCAATAAATAATCTGCAATTATCCAGGCTTACACACACACCAATAAACTTCCCCTGTCGAATCTCATAATTATTAAGAATTCTGATGGCCAACTGGGCTTCTTCTTTTGTAGTGTACATCACAAAAGCATAACCTCTGTTTTCACCACTAAACTCCATCATAAGTCGAAATTCATATATTTTCCCAGCTCTTTCAAATACAGGAACTAACTCATCTTCATAAATATCACGAGGTATTTTTCCTACAAAAACTTCACAGCCTCTAGGTGGAGGTGGCCCTTCCCACCCTGGAGGAGGACCACCGAATTTCCTTTGTCCGTTTTCTTGAACCATGGTGTAACCAGTCTTTTCCATCAAAGCAAGCAGTGCTGCTTCATTCTGAGTACCAGTTCGAACTTTACTGCATTCACTTGTTCCATCCATATTTTCTTCATTCATCGTTGCAATTCCCCTTAGGGTCTTAAAAAGTTGATCTTAAATCCCTGAGACTAACGACCACAAACCGCCGCCATCGTTCTGGGCCAGTAGGTGGGGGAGGGGCGTCCCGCTGGTAGCGGGGCCTCGAGCTGCTCCTCCTGCCCCTGCTGGGCTTCCAGAGGGCGGAGTAGAGCAGAGCTGTTTTGTTGGAGGTAGCTGCTGGGAAGCACAGCAGGGGAACAGGGCCAGACAGAAAGAGGCCAGGGACCAGCTACAATATAGACCTCAAGGTCACACCCACACAGCCAAACCCACTTGTGTGCTTTACTAATCTAGGTAGCTCCCAACCCAATCAACTTGACAGTTAAGTTTAATCATCATACTTGTCATACTTTTTTTTTTTCCAATCCTGTGGACTAAGCCCCAGGTTGCTCTTTCATTGAGCTACACCTCCACCCCTTCTTTTCTTTTCTTTTTTTTGAGACAAAGTCTTGCTGTGTAATTTAGGTTGCCCTTAAACTCCTTGTATAGTCCAGGCTGGCCTTGAACTGGAGGAGATCCACCTGTCTCAGCCTCCTGCATGTGCCACCACACACAGGAATTTTTTATTTTTTAAGTTTACTTATTTTGGTTTTCTGATAAGAGGTCTCACTTTGCAATGCAACTGGCCTTCAACTCACAGTGATCTTCTTACCTCAGTCTCCCTAGTGCTGAGATTACAGGCATGGGCCACCATGCCTGGCTATTTTTTGAGACAAGGTCTCCCTAAATTGTTCAACCTGATATTGAATGTGTGATCTCCCAGTCTCAGCCTCATTACAAGTGTACTTCCGGAAATTTATGCTTTGAAAATATTGATGATTATATGTAAAGACGTAGATAAAAAGCTATTCATAGAAGCATTATTTATGATATAAACTGTTTAACAGTGGAGAGTTGGTGAACTATATTTGGTAATAGCATAGATGTTTATGACTTATGTATTTATTTATTTTGGTACTGGGGATCAAATTTGGGTCCTTGCCCTTGCAAGGCATACAGCAGCAACACTGAGCTAAATCCACAGCCCCATTTATGACTTTTGTTTTAAACATCCTTTGGAGATTTTTTTTTAGGATCATAGCAGCAATGCACATGACCCTTAAAGGCAGACATACTCTTCAATAGTAAAAATAATGTTGAAAATTAATATTTAGGGCAGAAATATGTTAGTATGTCAGTGAATGAGCAAAGCAGGTTACAAAACAGCATGGCCCATATTTGTAAAAAAAAAAAAATACATGTATGCACACATAAATGGTAGCTGACTTGCAAGTAATCATTCCTTTTTAACTTTTCTGATTTGCTTATAATTAATAAGCTGTAGTTTGTATGATAAGCAATAAGTAAAATGAGAAGTGTAAGGATGGGAGAGGATATCTGTAGCCTATTTCACCTGTCTTGGCTCTTTCTCTAGGTGAAGTTTGCCAGAGATTCTGGCTCTGACGGGCATAGTGTTAGTTCGCGGGACTCTGCGGCCCCTTCTCCCACACCTGGTGTAGACAGCCACTCTGCGGAGCCTGTTGTGTCACCACCCACATCAATGCCTTTCAGATCAGGGTGAGTTACTGGCTTTGTATCAAGCTCTTTCATTGTTTATAAAAGTGATTTGTGGAGGGGTTCAGAAGGACTACAGTTAAAAAATACAAAAATTTAAATAACTGGAAAATAGTGGGATCAGGGAAATGGGGAAAGTATTTCTGACAAAGGATTGATATTCTTAATCTGTAAAAGCACTAACTCACATAAGAGTCCTTACAAAATTCTGGGAAAAAATTGAGCAAAGGGTATAAATGTATATTTTTTCATGGGTATATATATATATAAAAATAAAATAAAAGTATTTGAATAAAACGTTATTCATCACAAACATTCAAAGATTATGCATACTTTTAAGGAAGAGTTAAAATTCTGTTTTATAGACCTAAGTTGTTGAATATTGAAAAAAAATTTGTTCAGCATAATCTGGGTTTGTGGTTGTGGATTTTGTTTTTAATCTCAAGATATCTCTTATTTACTTTCAGGGAACTGGCTCTTCATACCAAATCTAACTCCCTGAGTGAACAGCTTACAATAAACTCAGTGAGTATAAGAATCTGGCTTCCTCACCTGCAGCGTGCTGAGGTTTCAGATGAGGGGAAAAAATATTGCAAATTCTTGATTTAGGTAGAAACCAATGGTTCCTTTATTTCCTGTAAGTGTATGTTAGCCATGCTTTCGCACAGTCAGATCTTGAGAAATTATCTAACTTCTTATATCTTTAACTTCTTCATTGTTAGAATGGAAATAATTTTCAAAACCCCCTCTTAATGTTCTTGTGAGAATTAGAGATATTTGTAAAGCTCTCAGCTCAGAGCCTATGTAAAATGTGTCTTTAGAAAGTGATTTAAACCCAGTTAGCTCAGTTAAAGAATCAGAAGAAAGTTTTAAAATAATCATAATCTCAGATCTTCGGACAGTCCAAAAAGTTGTTCAATATGGGTTCCATTCTTCTCTCTAATGGCAGTTGCTCTTGCCACCCATTTCTGAGCATCAGTATCTTCTACTAGGCTAACCTCTTTTTAACCTAACCTTTCTTTTTTTTATATAATTTTGCTCTCTTTAAGTGTTTTTTATTTTAAATAGGTATTACATTTATATAGTACAGTTATCATTATACCATAATAAGAAATACATTGCAACCTCTCATTCTTATTCCTCTTCCCACCCACCATGTTCTACTCATATTCATTAGGTAACTACTTTCAGTAGTTTCTTTTTTTTGAGGGGGTATGGGGGATCGAACCCAGGACCTTGCGCTTGTGAGGCAGGTGGCGGAAACACTGAGGTAAATCCCCTGCATTAGTTTCTTAATATAGTCTTTCAGTGTATCTTTTTGCAGGTGGAAGTATAGAGGAGTGTATGCTTTTAGTCTTTCCTCCTTCCTCTTACAAAAAAAATGCTATATATATTATGCACCTTGCTTTTTATATATAGCAATATAAATACATATACCTTTTCATCTTAATGTATAGTGGTTTCTTAATCATTTTTTAATCTGTAGCTCATCATATTTCATTGTGTGGATATGGTTTATATAATTAGTCCTCTCTCATCTCTTGATGTATCCAACATTTTTTTTATTATGTACCTCCATCAGTTAAGAAAAATTCATGAGTAGAGTGCCAGATACATCTGTTGACAAATTATATTTTAATTTGTAAACAAGCAGTGTTTTATATCGATCGCCAAAAAGTAAAGATGGAGCAAATGATCATTCTTTCTGTACCCAGGATATCTGGTGAAGACTGTGCTTGAACCAGTTGATATAGAAGCTTCTAGCATAGAACGTAGTGTAAGGTCCATGTCAAGTCGGAGTTCAGTGAGACCCAATTTAGAACAAAGAGCTCCTGTATCCTTCTCTCCATAACTCTCTTCTGAATATCTACCTACTGAATTGCTTCAGGCTTTTGAGAGGACCCTATCACCTAAAATGTCTCTTTCTCTTACATCTCTGCCTTAGTTTTTCACCTGAAAAGTGAGAATAATTATGCCCAGTGGGGAGACTTGATTGAAGAGATAATGTATGTAAAGCTGCTATCTGTATCAAACAAGTAGGGAATTATTTTTACTGCCATAATTAATTGCATGCTTCTGTGCAAGACATCTTAATTCTCCTTTTCTAGAGGAAATGGTTTCAAAGGGATATGGTAAGGAACTTAAAGATGATTTGATGTGAAAGTCGAAGAGAGAGAGAGCTGCCTTGATGGTTTTGAACCTTAATCAAAATGAGTTTTGTGACTTTCTTTTCTTTATAGAGTCCTGATACAGTCAAAGCCAAATTAATCTCTCGGATGGCTAAAATGGGCCAGCCCATGCTGCCCATCCTTCCACCACAGCTGGATTCCAACGACTCCGAAATTGAAGTATGTCCCCCTCGCTGTATTAGAATAAGTAGTACAAATGTTGCCATCTTCTATTTCTTTCATTGAAATGATTGCTTTTCTAACTCTAACTTAGAATCATTATTTAGAGGGTTTCAACGCAAAATTATAGAGATTAGTATTCATTCATAGGTTTTATTGTGATTAGGTCTTCCCTTGAAAAACAGAAATAATCCCATGTGTCTACCAAAAGAACTGGGCAGTTTAAAGTAGTTAATTTAGCCTTCATTCACTAAAATCTATTGTGCATAAAAATCAGTGTTTAGGGAGCAGGATGCCCGAATTGTAGCAGGTAGCCACTTCACATCTGTTGATTGAATGGTTAGATCCTTTTGGGAAATATTGGTCTTCCCACTGATATTTCCTATTATTTAAAGATCAAACTGTTATATCTTTTTGACTTTGTGTGTGGTATTTTTGTTTTTAATTAGAAGTTTAAGAATTTCATTGGGGGCCGGGGATTTAGCTCAGCGGTTCGGTGGCCTACCTTGCAAGTGCAAGGACCCAAGTTCAATCCCCATACCAAAAAAAAAAACAAAACAAACAAAAAAAAGAATTTCATTGAAATTAAACCTATCAATTTCTCCTCTTTTTGCTTTTGACATTGTGCTAAGAAAGCCTTCCCACTTTCAGATATTAGAAATATCACATGTATTTTTAAGAAATAATTATATTAAGATCTAAAGTTTTAATCCTTTTTTAATTTGGTGTATGATATGAAGTAACTTAATTTTAATTCTTTTCCCATTGAATAGCTCCTTGCTGAATAAAACCATGCTTTCTCAAGTGTATCAAAATACATGAGATTGATTTTAAGATTCTTTCACTTTGATATAAAATGAAGAAAAGATTTTTTTTCTGAACTAGCCTTTATTTTTTATAATTTTGCTTTCTTTTTGGAAAAGATCTGAGTAAATGTAACGTTTTAAAGGAAGATAAGATTTCTGAGGGGCCAGGGATATAGCTCAGTGGTTCTCCTGCCTGCCTCACAAGCACAAGGACCCGAGTTTGATCCCCAGTATCAAACAACAAAACAAACAAACAAAAAAAGATTTCTGAAGCTTTTTATTATTGGTTGTCTGGATTCTGAAAACAAAATTTGAATAATACAGTATTTTATTAAAAATTTGAAGTACTACTTGTTGAATAATATGACATAAATAAAAATATTATTATT